GAAAATTGGGGCCAGTACCACCTTGAAGCGATACACACCGCTCGGTGAGAATTTATGCCACCGCGCTTCCCAGAGTGGAAATTGTTTGGGCCCCCATTAACCAAGCGCAACCTTTTTTAGAGCGCTTCTTAAATACGATTCCATCGCCTCCGTCTTCGTCTCCAGCACCGACCAAGCAGAAAAACGACGCTTGTCAAATACTTGAGCAGAGCGTGAAGAAGATGCACACCGAGAAACCCTGTTGCACCAGTCAAAGAAAAGATTCCGAGGCGGAAGACTCACCATTTCCACGCGGGTAACGATTGTAACCAGCTTTGCGCGTTGGCAGCGGGGTAAATGGACGCGTCCGAATTTATGTTCTCTGGTATTCTGACGGCGTTTGGTGTTGACATGCTCACTGCACGACACGGGAGACCGTGGAAATTGCGGTCCTCCACCGCAGCGTACACACGTCGCAGATTATCTAATTGTCGACGGCAGCTCTTGAGTGTGCGGCCGGAGCTCTCCGCTACATCGTCCAGGTCCTTTTCCAGCCGTCCTGAGAGGTTTTTGCCCAGCAGCCAACGATCCACGTCCGAGTCACGCGTGTAGTAGCGTTCCACCATGTAATACTGCTGGACTGGGGGATTTGGAACAACAATTGAGAACGAAACAGACTCGGCTGCGATAGATAATGCTACACTTCATCATAGCGGCGATATTGGTCCACTGTGTCTCGCCATAATAGCTCTCGCAGTTTGGCGGCCGCATCTCCACCTAGGTACGGCATGGACACAGCTGATGAAAGACGCAGGCGAGCTGCCAATGCGTCACTTGCGTTGTGACCTTCGCGCCAACCGCGCGAATACGTGTGCGGAGTGGTAATCGGTGAGGTTGTTGGGGCTTGGACTGGAGTGTCAGAATAGTGAAGACACGATATATACACGGAACGATATATGTTCCGAATTTGCCCCAAAAATGGTGTAATGCATTCAGTATAGCTAAGTCAAAACAATAGGAACTTTTCATTCTGCAATTTGCCACACACTGCGATAGTCTCGTCAGGATAGTGAAGGCAAGATATATACACGGAACGATATATGATCTGACAATAGGAACTTTCCATGCCACACAGCTGAGATAGTCTAGTCAGAATAGTGAAGGCAAGATATATACACGGAACGATATATGTTCTGACAATAGGAACTTATCATGCCACACAGCTGAGATAGTCTAGTCAGAATAGTGAAGTCAAGATATGTACACGGAACGATGTATGATCGGGT